GAGGTTGCAGTGAGCCAAGATCGCATCATTGTACTCCAGCCTGGGTGACAGAAAGGAAAGAGGAAAGGGGAGAGGAGAGGGAGAGAGGGACACCTCTGAGTTCCGTCCAAAATTAAGAACACAGATGCAGGGATTGTGTGGTGGTTTAACTCTGCAATTCCCAAATGTTATCCCTACACTGGAATAACCTGAGGAACTGTTTGTAAGAAAATCTGATTCTTGACCTGGGGACCTCTAAAAGTTTCTCAATTCATTCTAATGATTCTCAGTTTGGAAAGTACTGGTATAAATATTACCAGTAAAAACAACCACTACTAGTTATTGAGTACCTGCCAGTTACTAGGTCCTGTTTTAGGTGCTTTACATATATTGTTCGATTTATTTCATTAGCAGAAAGGCATTGTGAAGACCAAGTGAGAAAGTGTAAGAAGTTTCAGTGGAGTTCATCCCCACTTAAGAGAAATAGAAAAGGACAAGGAAAGACATCTTGACCTAGAGACAACTTTTTAATTACCTGTAAAGATATGAAAAAATGTGATTAACACTGATTAAATAAAAAGACTGATGAGATAAGCATTTTTTTAAGACCAAAAAAAGGGGGAAAATATTCAGGCAGCATAGAACAGTACTCAAAGAAAGAGAGCATTTGTCTCTCAAATCTGATCTATTCCTGGGGTAGTATAACAAATTGGCTTCAAAAATTCTGCATAATATCAGAATCGTTCAGAATTCCAAGTTCAACATTCACTCTCTGCCAGCGCCAACTCAGTTAAACGAGACCCCAAAAGACTTATACCCTCTAGGTCTAAGTAGAAATCAATTGGCTTCCTTAAAGACCAAAACCTGTATAAAATTTTCCTAGTTGAACCTGTTGCAGACAAAAACTTCTCAAAGCACACTTAGTCTGAGGTAATTCTTACCTAAGTATTCGCCAACCTCTTAAAATGTACCTGGTCCCAGATGCACGTGGTATGGATACCTTACTTGTTTTACATATTTTCTCTTGCCTAGCACGTTTGTCTTATTGATGTCTTGAATCAATTATTTCAGAAAGCAGAAAAGATGCTGCATAATAGTGCCTAGCAACGGCATATCCAATTACAATTCATAAATGCTCTTCGACAATGATACATGTAATAGGAGACAAGTACTATTACATACCACATGAAATTAGGATCAAGAAAGCCTTGAACAAAGTACAGTATCATTCTGGTTAAAATATAAAAAAATTTTATGAGGACAGAGGTAATAATTGCTCTCTATTGTTCTGATACTCGAGCCCAAGGACATCTAGCTCTCATCTAACAAAAATCAGAGGTCAGACTAAGCTAGAGATTAAGTGCCAGGTCATTTTCTAGCTCCTATCCCTGAAATGAAGGCTATTTCTTATTTGCAATTATGTATTTCTCAGGCTTAAGTGCCCTGTGCCCAACCAGAATAATCTCTGTTCCCTCTCCTTCCTCTATTAACCACATCCATTTAGCAACACATCAAAGAAATTAAGCTTTTTAAGCCTGATCCATTTAGAAGTGGCCATTACAGCTTAAAACAGTACCTACCAATCCGGAACAAAAACAGATTTTTTTACATTAAGGTTTATTTTCTCAGATTGCCACACTTCCTTTAAACACTACTTCCAATATCCTTCCTCTTGTTGTTCTTATCAGGTCTACTGGTTTCTATAAACAGAAGAAAACCTGTGTTCAATTAGCATGAATTACCATCTTTTAAGCAGCTCCTCTTTCTATTCTCAACTCTGGACCTAATAAAATCTCCTTGGCCCTGACAGATAATGTCTCTAGAAATGCTACTTCAATGTTTAATACTTAAACATTTATAAGGTGGGCAGACCATTTCAGGTCAGGAGTTCGAGACCCACCTGGTCAACATAGTGAAACCCCATGTCTACTGAAAACACAAAAAATTACCCAGGCCTGGTGGCATGTGCCTGTAATCCCAGCTATTCGGGAGGCTGAGACAAGAGAATTGCTTGAGCCCGGGAGGTGGAGACTGCTGTGAGCCAAGATCACGCACCACTGCACTCCAGCCTGGGTGACAGTGAAACCCTGTTTCAAAAAAAAAAAATTAAACATTTAAACCATAAACTCATATAAGTAATGAGATAGAATATTAAACAGCTACAGTATTATAAGCTTCATTCTACCTAAGAGGCAGCCTTAGATATCACCATCCATAAAAATGAAACAAAGGGCAGGCAAAGCTTTTACACTAAAGAGGTCTTGTTCACATTTCTTGTATCATGGGAACCAAACAACAGTCGCATGAGTTTCCTAATCTTTACAAACATACTTAAAAAACAAGGCTATAATAAATCTTAGTTTACAAACCCTGTCATCCCAAACATTTAAAAATGTTTTCCTGGACTCAAACAAATAGAGATATGCATCCGTAGACCGCATGTTCCAGTGTCATTGTAAAAATATCCTTACTAGAATGAACTAAGGTGTTGGCCATCAGGTAATACTCAAGACCTTTCACAAGATACATTCCTTTGTTTTATCCACTGAAAAGACCTGACTGCCTTGTGAACGCAGTTTTTTTCAGGCCTTGGTGTCAGTAAACATTCTTCTCCATGGCAACTAGCTTTATATTTAATGGACACTATTTCTTATAACTAATTACATTACCTTCTCTTTGTTGCCTGCCAGTTTCTCCATGGCCCACTTGTACACGACATTTTGGGGTATTAGCTTCATTTAGGTTATTAATTTCATCCAGAAACAAATTTTTTATTCATTTAAAGATACTGTACTGTTTTCTCATAAATCCTTTTTAGATTATAGTGGTGTAAAAATAAATCAACTACATAGCTTTAAAAAAAAAAAAAAAAAGGCTACTAGGATGTCTGCCCATCCTTGGCTAAAGTACCTCCTCACAAGAGAAAATGGCCCTATACCATGGACCAGTTACTTTCCAACAAATTACAAATCCCTTGTAGATCATTTGCCAAGGCAAAGAAGGTTGCTCTAACTTTAGCCCCTACCATTTAATCCAAGGTAGACAGACCACTGTCTTCCACCTTCTCACCAGCCCCCCCAAAGATTCAGGGTTAGTTATAAAGGTCTCAGGCACCTTTGGAGCAGGACCTGGAAAAACAAACTTATTACCTTAGGCCTATTTTCTTAAGTATCTGGCAAAAACCATAGACTCAGAAAAGTGTACATAACACAAATGTGTATCCAATTTCTAGGATTCTGGAAGGCCCATAAATACCCACCAAGCTCATCCATGAGCCTTTAGTCAAGAACTCCTTTCTAGAAAATGGCAAGCTGAAATG